GATCAATTTAGCAAAAATTTATGTTAGTTTCTGAAAATAACGTTTTTTTTTTCGTAATTACAAATAGAAAATCGTTCATACACCAGATGCCAAGATTCCGCGCAAAATTTTTGAACTACAATAATCATCTAGAATGAATACTTATTTTGACCAGTTTTAATTGTTTTTTCAAGACATTCCTATTCAGGTTTTTTAATCCGATTTATCTTATCCACCTCCCTTTTATTGCCTTCCTTTTTAACCCTTACTTTTCATATAAACACACGTCATCCAAAATTAAAATTACAATAGGGTTGCTCTCCAACTATGCAGCTGGTAAGTTTTTCATTTCTCTATCAATGCCACACACGGGCGGATCTAGGTTGGTCTCCTGAGAGGAGGGACGGCAGGAGGTATCGAGCAGACTTTTGTACAGTAAAACAACTGCTACCTGACTCCCTGGGGAGAAGAAGAGGGAGGCGAAAGGCCTCTCACCCTTTCCTCCCCTTCGATTCGCCAATGAGGCCATGTCATCTGCGTGAAGTTGGCTGGGAACCCAGAAGTTAGTTTCGCCTCCTGAAGGGATTACCCACTCAATGATTCAGAAGCATCCAGCAAAAGTTTAGTCGTTTCGAGGAGGTACTGACGTGCGTTACCCACCAAAACCTCACCTTGACCTTTGTAACCGATGAACTCATTGGTCACCTATCGATTAGAAGTTCAGTTTGTGCCCACTTTTCCACTCCTTCCTTCTTTACCTCACTCTTACTCCATCTAATCCCACTATCATCAGACCGTCGTTTCCTCTGCTTGCCTTTTTTGTGCCCTTTTTGCATCTATGCAATGCAGAAAACGCATATTGACGAGGGGTTGCCTCTGTGTATGTATGTATGTGTGTGTTGTGTGTGTGTGGGTGTGTGTGTGTCCATATGTCTGTCTGTGCGTCTATGCTGTGACCTATAAAAGCTGTACGGCTGAACCTTTGGGAGCTTAACCTACATGCAAGTGCGAACCTAATCCCCAAATGGGCGCTCTTATCCGTGTGGTTCTCACGCATAGGCCCACCAAAGTTCTTGGGAAGCTGCTAACCCGGGAACCAGAAAAGCCGGAAGACTGAAATTTTAAGGAGATTTTCCCCATCCACGTAGGTATTAATGAGCTCAAACTTTGCCCTGGGTATGCGTGATTCCCACACACGGGCCTGTGAAATTTTTTTTTGGGTAAGTTGCTAACTCGGAAACCTGAAAAGTTACAAGACTGAAATTTTGAGGGGGCCATCCCCGCCCACGCAGGTCCTAATGAGTTTAAACCTAGCCCCCGGCTATGCGTGATTCCTGTGTACGAACCTTTTAAATTTTTTGTGGGTAAGTTACTAACTTAGGGATCAGGAAAGATAGAAAGCTAAATTTTAAAGGGATGTTTCCTGACAGTCCTGGTGACCAGTCTCAAATTCTTTTAGCTAGAAGCATCTGCCGAACAAAAATCTGCGGGGAACTATGCAGAAATCGCATCTCCTCACCAGTAGTCGGTGCGCTAGCCATTTCTTTCCTATTAAGCACTGCGACCGTCATACTGACGAGGTCCTGTTGCGCGGTGTTGAGCTAAGGCGTATATGACTTAATGGATCGAAACTTCTTATCTCAATCTTATCTCCTCTCATATTGTAATCTATCGCCCCTTTGCCACTTAGGCTTCCAAGGTCAACCTGATTGCTACAATCTGCTTACTGATGAGAGCATGGCAGAAGGAACAGTCAAAATTAGCATAAAATTGATTAGACATGAAAACAGTGATGCAAATTATGCTGCACCGCTTATCACAGGGCTATCGATTAAGTTGATAATCTTTTATTACTAATATATTATTACCGAAGTTGAAAGACGAAATATCGCGAAAAGGGCTATGCGGACACCGAGAAACGTAACAAAAATAGGTGTTTTTTTTTTAAAACAATGAAACAACTAACAGAAAAACATTGCACAAAATCCATGGAACAATGCATTAGTTCTGGCAGTCACCCATTCTCCCTCACTTTTTTCCCTTCTCGCTACATTCTTATAATTATCTTTCGATCTATGACGAAAAGCTTGACAAGTCTTCATTGGCGGATCCGGGAGGAGGAGAGGAGGAGAAAGGCGGGAGACGGGGGGAGAAGGAGGTGAGCTTTCCTCCCCCTAGAAGTTCAGGTAGCAGCTGTTTTTACTGCAGAAAACTCTGTTCAATATCGCCTGTTGTGCCCCCCCC